AATAAATTGGTATGGTCTGCTTTTAAAAATAGGGTTTCGTGGTCACCCATTGCACTGTTTCAGATGTTGTCCTTCCTCCGGACTCTCCACCACGATTTTCCCCCCTTTTCTTCTAGTGGAGTTTGAAAGTCCTTACCACTTTCTAGTTCCAAGCCACTGGGTGGTGGACCATGGAGGCATCCTCCTGAATGGGTTAATGAAATACATAATACAAACAAAATATAGAAATTTATAAAACCATTCAGTTGAGAATAGGGTGTTAGTGTTTTGCTAGTGTAGATGATGTGCTATCCTCCAATATGAAACAAATAAAATGGGAGTGAGCCATCAAAATTGCAGTTCACCTCTTTCATTGGGAACCTTCATCCTACTCCCATGTGGATGTCAGTTACCAGTAGCTGGGTTTTGGATTTAGAATTGAACCACTAAACATAAGTCCTCACACATGTGTTACAGATGTCTATATTCCTACCTCAATTAAATTATTGTTCCTCCATCCGTGTTGTGTATCATGGTGGAGATACTTGCAGGTTATTATGGTTCCTCCCCTATCCCTCGATGCTTATTATTCCAAGGATGTTACTGTGCTTGGGGCGGTTCCAGTCAATCTTTTTAATTTTACCCAATTTTATATTTTCTGGGATAGAGTTGCATAAATATTATATGGTTCGGATCATTATCTGACTTTAGTTCTCTCCCACTTGGATGTGCTCCTCTGTTTTTCTGCCCATATGTGTGACATCTTTTTACGATGGACAACGAGTATACTGGTGCAGAATTGGTATTGACCCCTACATCACATCTCAGAATCCGATTGTCTCATGTTACAGAGTGTTCTTCAAATGCTATCACAGGATGCTTCTTTCTTTCCCTTACAACAGTCCATTTACCTATTCAATTTGGGATTCTAGCTCTTTGTGTGAGTAGAGATAATGTACCGTATTGGAAATTATAAATTTCCTATACAGAAAATGTCTTTCCTATAGGAACTTATCTCCCCTTACACTTCCCACCCTTCCTCCTCACTGAAAACCGATGCTTCCATCTTCTGCCAGAACTTTAAGTGATAGTTTGGTAAAATTGAATAGAGGGAGTCACATGCGTCATGTGAGTATGTCGCACACTCATTGGTGGAGGGTTGTTGCATGATGATTTGTATGAAAGACGCAATGGAATCAGTCAGTTCCAATGAAGGGGGAGATAGAAGGCTTGTGGCATGTGTAAATATTTTTTATGCATATAGAGGGCAGCACTGAACAAGAATAGCTATTTATGAGAGTAAAGATAAGTAACTATCAGAAATACATTTTCACTATAGGAAAATTGTAACTTTAGCATGAAGGTTATTTGCTTCCCAACTTTTCAGGAAAGTTATTGTTTCTAACAAGTTAATTGCGAAGTAAACTGTACTGAGACATTAACAAAGAAATTTTTCATGCTTATGGTGAACTTTTTCACAGTGATTATTTAGCCAGGCAGCAGTAGACACATTGCATGAGAGTGCTGATAAGGGAGAATGAGTCCTATACTGCAAACCTGTATGAACCCTACCCCTACATCCTAGAGTGTATCTAGATGTACAATTGCAATGTTATTGTAAACCTGGATGTGATTTGCAGTATTTCTTCAGTTATGAAGACCATATTTATGTGTCTTTGTTCAAAACAATGTTACACCAGTCTATGATGAGAGAACTTCCAACACAAATGAAAGAACATGCAAATTTAAGAATGCCAAATAAATCAAGTGTATTAAAGTATGCCCTACATAAGTGTGATGTAGTTGTTGGGTGAATTTTTTTAAAGATATTATTGAGGGCCAATGATGAACATAACCTCCAAATAAAAGAGAACTTATTCATAAACTGATGCCACAACTTAATCAGATTAATTAATTGTGTAAGCTGTCAGTTATTATATAAGTATAAATAAAATGGTCATCCATGTTTAGTATTTTAATGTACATAATTGTACTACTTTATGAGTTTGGTAGAATAGAGATTTATATACATGTATCACTGCTTACATAATTTTATGTAGGATATTATTTTATGTGTGTGTATTATTACCTTGATTGTTTCACAGATTCTAATGACAGACTTTAGATGTGCTACAGTAACTTTGTCAATGAACATAGAATGCTGGGAAGATACATTTACTTTTAATATATATATATATTCTAATTCAGCTCCATTGACAACTATAAACTTCAGTTTTTACACTCTTTCATGCAAAACCCTTGCTTTCAGAAGAATACTTTCACAAACTATCATAGTGTTTGATTTGTAGAAACTGAGGCACAAACCAGATTTAATTCATAAGTAATCTTACACTTATGAATAAAAATTACAGGTTGTTTTATTCAACGATGACACTGAGAGTATTTATGTGTATTTAAGTGTCAACCATATACAGCAAGCATATTTAGCTAGACTACGTTTCTTGCAATATTTAGTTCTATGGTTTTTTTATTACTAATTTGTGTAAATGTAACTTTCAGATCCAGTTACAACTACACAGACCATATGGGGAGTGGTTGTGATTGTTTTTGGCATCACCATGATTTGTTTTTTCGTTCCATTGTTTATATTCCTGGCTATTTGTGGTAGTAGGAGTTCCATCACCACTACAACATCTTTCTTTGAACCAAATGAACACTGGCCAGGAATTAACGACAGTGGGATTTGTTCCTCTTTATCTGATCCTGATACAGCAAAATCCAGCAAATCTGACCAAAGTGGATCTCTGCCGAGCCCAACAGATGCATCATCAACTACTGTCAGCAATGAGAAAGATTCAGGAGTACCAGCTATGGCTGCTTTTAGTAAGGGAAAAAATGTTCCTTACAAAACTCACGATAAAGTGAAATTGATTCCTGAAAATACTTTAGATTAATGTAAATGTTAAAACTAAAAACCTTTTACATACATAGTTTGTTCTGGAACCAAGTCATTGCTTTGTTAGACGTAATGTCATATACATAAGTACCTTTAAAACATAATGTTAGAGGACCATTCTCTCTGGATGTAAAACTTAATTCATATGAAAGAGGAAATTATGAAATTTTCAAATTGTAGAATTTCAATATTCTTACAGTTTAATGTACAGTAACACACAAAATATATACCACAAATAAAACAAAATATTCTATTAGTTAATGTATTTTTTAAGAAGTTTCATATGATAATGAGAACTGGTCTTGATGAGGTGATATGTTTTTTTTGAGCCATATGGCTTTTATATAATATTTAAAAAAACTAAGGTATTCTGTTATTCTTTATGATTAAGAATTGTCACGAATTATTTTTTGCAAATGGTGATTGGTCTGAAGCAGGACACATACCTTGTTTAAAATCTAATTATTTTCTACATGTTTAGCATTATATTTCTTGAATAACAGCCTATGCTGCAAATTAATTAACGAAATGCATGATTTTAAAATGATGCAATATCCAAAGTAGTGTATTGGAGGATGTGGAGTCAAGAGAAAAATTTACTAATCGTTTCAGCCAAAGAAATTTTACAAATACGACAACAAAAAATGAGTGACACTGAAGATAAATCATAATAAAATGCATGGAATCATTGAAATAATATTACAGCTTTCCTTCCAGAGTTGAGAGAGAGAATTATAGAACAGTACATATATTTTTCCAATAACTATATTATTGGTCACTCAATTTTTATATATGTGCAGATGTTTGGAATAAATTATCTATAGTATGCAAAAGTCAAGCTTTGAGGTGTTGCAATAGTCCATCCATGTATATATATATTAACATATAAGTATAAAATATTGGTCTGATATATTCTTTTTACACTGAAACATTTCCATTTCATTTTGTATAAATCATGTAAATGTGAGGAACATTCTTCCAGTAGATATGCAGACATGTATGTTTTACTGATAAACAATCAGTTGTTCTTCCCTTGTGATTACAAACTATATAGTAATTTTTTGCTTTTTTTTTTTATAGGTATTACTGTGTTGTTGATATTTGTTTTTAGAGAAACTGATCTTCATATAGTGGTTCCCTTGAAATAAAGCTGGTGAAGCGTAGGAAGCCGGTAGGCCTAATATTTATGTAAACAGCAGGCAGATGTTATATTCTTTCACATTCCTCTTAATTTGTCTATTTTTGACTGCGAGTCAATGTTATGTAAAAATAGCATTTTAGATCTATCTTTTGTCTCCTGCAAGCCATTGCCCAAGAGATCCTTTGTTCAGTAGCAGAACTTGTTAGTTGGGCTGGATGATGAGACAAACATTTTCCTGAAACTGTTTATATACGTGGTTACATCTTGGGTTATTGTGATTCCAGCATTTGAATCACACTCTCAAACTGTTACGTGTTTATATATTAACATGCTGGTTTTAATATTTCTGACTTTTAATTAGTTGCATTACGAAGCCCAGTAAATTTTTCACTGCTTACTTTTCTTAACTGCTAATCATGAAACCTAAATACAAAAAATTGTAAAAGGTTAATAATTACATTTTTAATATAAAAGTAAAAACAATTTGAATACTTTACGTAGTATAGTTTGCACACTATACAGTAGGTCAAATCAAGTGTGTGATATTGACCACAAGAGCACGTATTCTATATGAATTTCATTCATGTGCTTCCAGGATTTGCTTATTGTCAGACTTTTAGTGTTTCCACATGGTGGTTTTTTTGTGTGTGTGTGTGTTGTTTTTTTTACCATAGTTTTGGTATTTTCTATGAAACGTGTTGATGGTTAATAAGAAAGCAAAATGCCAGAACCTGCTTTTATATTTTAGTGCTGTATATTCATTATATCTGTAAAGGATTAATAACTTATATATGAAAATAATAAATTAATGCCTAGAAAATAGTTCTTAAGTGTAAGCAAGAACATTTGATTTTTACAAATATGTATTTAGAAACTATAGATTTTTTTTTTTTTTTAAAGTTTGTGAGAAAGTAGTGGTAATGAAAATTTCATTTCATTAGTCTTATCAATGAGTTAATTTCCTCAGGACTAGTAATTTTTTAAAAGATTTATTTGATATAATTAATCAAACATTTTCTAACAATTTTCACTCGCAGAAGTTATGACCACTGAGTATTTAGTAGGAACTTGCAATTTTGATATACATGTTTTAAACAAAAACGGGAAAATGTTTAGTTTGTAGAATTTACATTACATGTACAACTTTTTCAGGTATGAATTATCCTCTGCTCTACACATTGCACAAGTACATGAAAGCTTTTTTATTTTAGTTATTTAGCCATCTCAGGAGAATATGGACTTGCGTGATCAAGGGTTTTTCCTCTTGTTTGAAAACCTCTTATAGGTATTTTCAACATCCTTTACCATTAAAACTAGTGTGGAAAGAGAACCAATTACCGGGATGTAATTTAACAACATGTATCGAACCTAATTCATCCTGTTGTGTTTACGTTGAAATAATACTGAGTAAACATAATACAGTTGTTTAGGGGCATAACTGTAAAACAAGAAAACCCAGCTGAAACAAAAGTCAGTTGACAATCATAAAAAAATATAGAAATTACCTGTAGACTTTTTATTTATTATGCCATTTTGTGGAGCTAAGGGTGTCCCATTGCCACAAAAATAGGCTTTTCATTTCAGGGTCATGAGTGTGTTATGAGACTGATGATGAAATCTCACTATTCTATCAGAGCAGCCCTAGAGTTAGTGATCAGTGTTGTTAAATAGCTGCCTTCCCTCTGGTGTGTCAGTTCAAAATTAGGGATGGCTAGCACAGATAGCCCTTGTGCAGCTTTGCACAAATTTCCAAGAAAATCATTAGAAAGTATCTATATTCTCAAAATCTATTACTAAGAGCATCTTCACATAATAGAATTCATAATTATGCCTCAATCTTCACACAATAGAATTCATAATTATGCCTCACATGTACAGAAACAATCCCTGAGAAGTTGTAAGTAAGGAACAGTTTTAACAACTGTGGTAGTACAGTTGGTTGTAACTAAAGTGAATTGAGGAGGTGCAGCATTGTATCAAGATATACAAATCACTGTACAATGTATAATAATTCAACAAGTTAGGAAATATTTTTTTATTCTCAGCAAAATTCTCTTGTAATAATTCATTGAAACTTGTAAAACATTTCAGTTTAAGATAAAAAAAAAAGAGCTTGCGAGACTTGCCAAGTGACCACATATTATTTGATGAAAATAAAAGATTATTAGTTTTGTCTATCATTACTGTGATTAGTTTGCACAGAGAATATGTAAAATGAGTTGTATATAGTGACCAAGATATTATTATATACCTGCATGAACAAATCAGGTTTAATTATTGTTATATTATAATGGCTGTGCCTTTAACTTCTTTACACTACAGATAGTCAAACAACCAGAGTGCATTGGTTTCATAATTTAATAGCAAACACATAAATATGTATTTATATGTAACTGATGTAGCTTTCTAAAGACAGGTTACATTTTATTATTAAACACAATTAAATAGTAGTTACATTGTGTGCAAGTTAAACATGAGCATTTGTACATAATTGAATAATTAGAGTTGTTTAAACATTTGTTTAAAAACAAGTTAAAGCTTGGAATGG